TTAGCTGACAGTGTCCTAAGCTGCCCACAAAATCATGACAAGCTCCACAGTCCAGGATGATTTTTACCAGAATGAGCCATCACTGCCAGCTGTCTATAGGCCTTTAGTTCAGTATTTGGTGCTATAGCTTCAGTCCTCAGCAAAGGAAGAGCATTCATCCTCAGGAACCCCAGCCATGATCAAGAATCAAGCCACTTATTCTTCTAGCTATATAAGCTATATAAGCTATAGCTTATATGTGCTTTATATAAGCTAAAGCTTATATGTGCTGTGCCCTGATGAATAGTCTACTTGACTCAAAGCAACCTTGGCCAACCACACTGAACTAATCTTACAGCTTGCTGACTCTCAGCAGAGTTCAGCAATGTTGTAGGGCTGAAGAATCCAGCCCAACTAGTCAATCTATCCCACCAGAAACCACCAACTGAACTATAGACAGCCCCAAAAAGAGAATCAGAGGCAGGAGCAGAAAAGCACTCACTGTCTAAGAAAACTGGTGAGTAGCCTTGCCCTGTGGTAAAAGTTACTATTCAGAAATTGGAATATCATCTAGGTCCAGCTGCTCCAATTCCATGTTCTAGACCTTTACTGAGAGTCAGAAAAAGCCTTTCAGCATCATGCATATATACATACATAATATGACACCTCTCTGTCCGTACTGACAGTTCCTCTTGCTCCCCACAGTCCCAGGCCTCTGCACTTAGCTGCCTGATTTGATTTTCAGCCTAGCTGATGTCAAACCAGAACCTGAAATGTCTGTGTCTTTGCTCTTATGTATCCTTGGTTGGAAAGTGGTAACTCTGTTCTCGGAAGCAGTTTCTACTAGACGTGAAAAATCATGGGAGTTTCAGAAGTACCTCCAACCCTTCATCTTCCCATGGGCTTGAGCAATATGAGGGCAAACAGTGCTAGAAGAGCTTCTTAGAATGAAGGCTTTCAGGGTTCCATGGCAGCTATAAACAGATGGAGTGGAAAGAAAAAAAAGGTGTTCCCATCCAATTGGTACTCAGTGTTATTCTCTTTAGAGGATGGTCTACTTTTTGTTGGTCTACTCCTGACTCTTCTGCTGGTCATACCTCTCTCTGATCAGCATTCTCACCTCTGTGTGGTCTTGGGCCGTTTGGAGGCCATGACTTGGTCTGTGTGTACTTATGACCAGAGTGCCATTTGAGGCAGCAAGTCCCATTAGAAGCAGTCCTGAAATGAAAGGCCCTGATGTGCCTATTTCTAGAAGGATACTTGTACTGGGTGGTTCTGTGTCAACTTGACACAAGCTAGAGTCAACAGAGAGGAAAGGGTTTCAGTTGAAATGCTTCCTGGAGATACAGCTGTAAAGCATTTTCTCAATTAGTGATCAGTGGGGGAGGGCCCAGTTCATTGTGGGTGGTGCCATCCATGGGCTTGTGGTTCTGGGGACCAAGCCAGTAAGCCGCAGCCACCATGGTCTTTGCATTGGCTCCTGCCTCCAGGTTGCTGCCCTGTGAGAGTTTCTGCCCTGACTTTCTTCAATGATGACCAGCAATATGGAAGTGGAAGCTGAATAAACCCTTCCCCCCCCCCCAGCTTGCATCTTGGTCATGGTGTTTCATCACAGCAGTAGAAACACTTCTTTTTGTAGGTTTTATGTCACTGACGTGTTTGGATGTTGAATAGACGTGGTTAACCCTAACCTGTCCTGCACTTGAGCCTGAGGCCAGGGACTATGTAAGCAGCTCCCTTGGCTCTGCCTTCCCTCACTTAGAAATTACCTTTGCAATTTTGATTTCATTTCCTAATTGCTCAGAGCTACAATTGATTTTAAAATCTATCTGTACTCAGCAATCTTGCTAAAAAGCATTCTGGTCAATTCAAGCAACTTACCTTTAGATTATTTTAGATTTTGCATGCATGATATCCTCTGCACCTGTGTACAAGTTTTCTAGACTCAAAGTTTTCTATATTCAAAATTAAAATGTCTGGTTTAAGGAGAAGTGCTGTGTGAAACCACTTGACTACATACTGTGCAGCTTGAGGCAATACCGTTTATTTGGCTAACCATGTGAGTGGAGAATTCTCAGTGATTTTTGAGTTAGCAACAACTATAAAAGTGGTTGGTGTTAGACACACTTGCTTCTCTTTTGCCCCACAACATGGGCTGCGATGTGGGGTTCAGTGGAAGCAGTCTTCTCTTAACATGTTTGCTACCGTTCATGTAAACAGAGTTGAAAGTATTCTTGGGCATACCTTTTCATTGTATTGTCTTTGAAGTGGTTCTCTTTGAAGCAACATACATTGCTGTGTTTTATTTCAAACTATTAGCTGCTATTCTAGATTTTCTAGATTTGTTGTGTTATTAATGAGGTATGTTGACCATCCTCTTTGTATTATTTATTGTTTTTCTCTATATCTCTATCTCTTCATTGGGAAATGGTTCATTTTTCTTTGTCTTCTCTACTACTGACTTGAAAGTTTTATGCTTCAGTTGTCATTTTTGTTGCTTTATTTTGCTGATTGTTGTAAATTTTGAATATATACTTTGTCATCCAGTAGACAGAAGCCGCACTGTTTCATGTAAGCAAACATGAAAGAATTTCAAACTAATAAAAGGTGGTTGGCCACTGAAAGGGAAGTGGTGAAGTAGGCTCTTAGCGGTGCTGGGCAAAAACTTGAGAAAGCATATACTACCTCCCAGAGCTAAGGGGGAGCAGACAAGACATGAGCTTAGAAACATAGCTAAGCACCTGTGTTGGGCTGAATTGGACCTTGGTTGCTAGCACAGGACTCCTCAATCCACTTGACTAGCAACTTAAGATGGATGTTGCTAACACAGACGGCTGGGGCTGTGCTGGCAGAGCCTGAGAGCATGAGTTACTAGTAAACTGCCCATAACCCATCCAGCTAAAGAAACTGCTCATCAGAAGAAAAGCTGTCATCATCTTTCTCCTCGCAGTCGCCCTCCATTGCCCTCTGTTGTCAAAGCCTGCATCAATCCTACTTCAGAGATGTGATCTGACCATTCTGGTGTTGACAGCTCATGCTCTCAGGCTCTACCACAGCCATGGCCCTCTAGCTCATGCCACATATCCATGGAGATGGATGTTTTTAAGACGCATTTCTAATTGTATACGCAGGAGGAAGGGGTATGTGCATGTGTGAGCACAGGTGCTCATGGGGTTCAGTAGAGGGTGTCAGATCATCTAGAGCAGTTCTCAGCCTTCTTAACACTGTGACCCTTTACTATAGTTCCTCATGTTGTGCTGACCCCCAACCATAAAATTATTTTTGTTGATATTTCACAACTGTAATTTTGCTACTGTTATGAATTGTAATGCAAATATCCATGTTTTCTGGTGGTCTTAGGTGACCCCTGTGAAAGGCTCGTTGGACATCAAAGGGGTCGAGACCCACTGGTTGAGAACTACTGTTCTAGAGCCAATGGTTGCAAACCACCCAACATGGGCTCTGGGAACTGATCTCTGGTTTCTGTGAGAGCAATGTATGCTCTTACTGCTGAACCATCTCTGCAGCTCTAGTTTTGTATTTTTGTGTTTTCTTTTTGAGACAATATTTCTCTCTGTAGCCCTGGCTATCCTGGAACTTGCTTTGTAGACCAGTCTGTCCATAAGCTCAGAGATCTGTCAGCTTCTGTCTCCCAAGTTCTGGGATTAAAGGTGTATGCCATTATGCCTGACTACATTTTTTAAGTCTCACTATACCTGTTGGAGTTTTTTCCCATGAGGACTTGAATACTTTGAAGATGTCAACCTAATTTTCATGCTTTTCTTCTTGCTGATACCTTGTGACCATCATTCAGTTTGATATTCCCTGAGTGTCGTAAGTGTGAGCTTTGTGCTTGACTCTCAAGGCTTCACAGGGTTTCAGGTTTTAAACCAGTTTTCTAGTTGGGGGTATATTTACACCAGCTTGATTGTGTATACTGTCAGGCCCTAAACTCCATCAGCAGAGAGGAGCTGTTCTCTATGCTGCTGCTAACTGGTCCTTGTCCTCACGGGATGCCCCTCCTCTGGTACATGCTAACAATTTGGTCCCCATGCTGTTATCTCCTTTAACTCCTGTACGCTGCTCTAGGTTTTCTCTTTATCATCACTAGAAACTTCATCTGAGATACTTTTACATTGACCATGTTCATTGTTTAACTAGGCGCAACTGCTTGAATGAGAATGTTCCCCATAGGCCTAGATGTTTAAAGGCGTGGTCGACACTTGGTGGTGTGGTTTAGGAGGTGTGGCCTTGTTAAAGGAAGCGCTTTACTAGGATCCAGATTTAAAAGCCTAAAGGCCTCACCCTACTTGTCGATCGTGGTTTGTACTTTCAGCTTTCAGTGTACAATGTGAACTCTTAGCTTCCTGTTCAGCCACCATACCTGCTGCCTGTAGCCATGCAGCACCCTGTCACTGTGGGACTCTCTAGAACCATTGGGTAAAGTGAATTCTTCTGAAAGGTGCTTTGACCATGATGTTTTGTTACAGCAATAGAAAGGTAAGTAATATACGAGTTCCTTATGTGTTTTGGGAGTGGCAGGTTTTCCCCGTCTGCCACCATCAGCTCTAGGATGGCTAATATTTATGTGATACAGTCCTTTCTCTTTGGTGCTTTTCTACTTTCATGGTACATGGTTATTTAGGGAAAAATTACAGTGTCATCATTAGGTGAGGTGGGTGTCAAGTGCCATATTTTATTGTGAGACTTTAAGACAGAAATGTCAGGCTGAAGAGTTGTTGGCTCAGTCAGAAAAGTATGTGTCTTGCAAATATAAGGCTCTGCGTTTGAGCCCCAGAACTCAAACTAATGATAATAACAGGTATGATAGTGCATCTTGTGTTTCCAGCACTGGGGAAGTTGGAGATTTGGATCCCGAGGATTCACTGGCCAGCTAATCTAGCCTACTTGATGAGTTCCTGGCCAGTTAGAGATCCTATTTTAAAGAAAAAAAGGGGGAGAGGATCCTCTAGTCTCTTTCTCTCTCTGCACACATAAAAAGAGAAATATACACACACAACTAGAAATATTTACAAAATTTTTATTATGCATCAAGTAATCTGGGTTCAACTGGGGTTATAAACATTATCAAACAAAACATTGTAGTTGCTTAGTATGTGACCTAGTAGAGAGCTTGTAAACATTAAAAAAAAAATAATGTTACAATACTAAGAATTGGCGTTTTGTTTTTGGAAACAGGGTTTCTCTGTGTAGCTTTGGCTATCCCAGAACTTACTCTGTAGACCAGGTTGGCCTCAAACTTAGAGATTCACCTGCCTACACAGAGAATTGTTAAAGTGGAAAGTGCTACACAGGAAGAGACCAATTCAGTATGGACTGGCTATTGGAAAAGATAGCACAGTATCTAGACTGTTCTGTGTCCTCAGTGCTGCTGAATGAACACATCTGCACAGGAATATAGTAGCAGAAACCACATCTCACACTTGATAAGTGAGTAGGAGCTATGAATATTACAGTTTGTAAAAAATAACACATAACCTATAAGTTAGAGTGAACACTATTGTTGTGTTGTTGAGGCAGGCCAACCTCAGCCTCCCTAGTGCTGGGATTACAGGTGTGAGCCAGCATGCCCAGGCAGAACATTGCCATTTTTTGTTATTGTTTTGTTTTTGAGACTCAGTCATACCTTGGCTACCTTGAACTCAGAGACCACTTGCCTCAGCCTCCCAGTGCTGGGACTAAAGATATTTGCCACCATACCCACTCTGTTGTATACTTTAGCAGAGCATTGGAGATGGCTGGCTCAGTGGGTTAAAGGCCATCTGTTGTACAAGCCTGCCCAGAACTTAGGGAAAGTGTTTGACACTCACGTGTGCCATGACACGTGCACCCCCTGCTCACATCCTACGTGGAATAATAATAAATAAAAAGGAAAAGTATCATTGAAGACAACAAGAACATGGCAGGGAGTGTTGTCTGAATGGGTGACAGTCACCTTAGAAACAGAACAAAAGTCTATCTGGTCTGAAATGTGTAAAAGGCACTTGTTTAAATACACTATGTACATATTTTCCTCTTAACATGTCTATTTGGGTGACCTGTCCATTTCTTAGAACAACAGGACTAAGTCTCACACTTGCCTAACAGAAATACAAAGCCCCCTTTTCTCCTAGGAAGCAGTGACTGTTCTGCAGCCTCCTGAACCCAGAGTTCAGACATAGATCTTGGTTTGTGGCTGGGCTCAAATTTTCCTATGGAAATAATGCCACATACCAGAGGTTTGTCCCTAGGCTTTCCCAGAGCATTTAACTTAAGGATATCACCGTTAACACTGTTGCCTCTAGGAAAACACACTGTAGCTCCAAACCAGAACCTGGGGCAAATGTAGGCTTACAAGCATCACAGGTGGCAGCCAGAAGGGCTTTGGCAGTGTTAGCTCTGGGTGGTTTTGATTTTGGATGCTTTTTATTTCCACAAAAGAGTACCCTCCTGCAGTCAGTAACTGCCCAGGAGTTACTCTAAACAGGCTCCCTCCTGCACAACCATGTGCTGGGGACAGGGCACTGATGTGAACAACTACTTACCAAAGTGAAAAGTCACTACTGAGGTTTTGGTGCCTCATTAGATACAAATACCACAGTTTCTTTGATGATTTGAATTAATCCAAATGAACAGGAATAGTCCCTGCTTTTTACATGGCCTTCCTCTACTATCCATGTAGTGTCACGTAGTTAAGAGGTCATACAATATACACTTCCATCAAATGTATGTTCTGATTTAAATGTCAAAAATACACATATACACTTTCTAACACAGGAGATAAGAGCTCATGGTCAGCTTCTGGGCTGTCCATCTGGAGTCAGTTCATACCTGTAAGACATGGGTTTGGAGTGTGTTAGTAATGAGAATCTGGGGCTGCAACAAGACAAGCAACATGTCTCCGTGGAGACAGCAGAAGCCAGCTGTCTGGGAGTTGCTGGCCAGGGATAATGCTACAGTTACAGAGGGCTGCAGGAAGACCTAGTCAGGAACACCTAAGTAAAAGCCTCTGAGTAATACTGAAAGGCAAAGAACTCTAGGGACCAGGCCAGCTGGCTGAGATGGTGTCTTACATGTTGACAGTGATAAAGGAAAAGGCACACTTACCACTGTGAAAAGCCCTTAATCAGATCTTGTTTTGATAAGTCAATCAGCACCTAAACAATGGCAAACAGTTAGTGCTTTTCCACTACTATGTTCAGTGGGGGCGCTCTGGGGTGAAGAGCTGAGTGTGAAGGTTTCAGTTTTCCTGCAGGGTATTTTTTTTAAATTATTCTTTGAGAATTTTATACACACATACAAATAAATATAATTGTATATACACATGCCATTTCCTTCCCCAGCTTCCACCAGAGCACTGCAGTATGTCCTCATTCCAACTTCATGTCTCTACCGTCAGTAACCGACTAAATCCAGTTAGTGCTGTCCGTGTGTGCAGAGTATGGCAGCCTACCAATGGCCATGCCCCAATAGAATGATTCTCCCTTCCCCAGCAGCTACTAACTGCTCCTCAGCTATGGTGGGGGTCTTCTCCATCCATCCATCAAAGTACTTTTCTTCTCCATGGAGCCTTTCCAGAGAGAGTACAGACACTGGCCTCAGCGTTTTAGAAGTAACTGTTCCATATCCAGCACTCAAGAGGCAGTGGCATAGCCAGGCGGTGGTGGCGCACGCCTTTAATCCCAGCACTTGGGAGGCAGAGGCAGGTGGATTTCTGGTCTACAGAGTGAGTTCCAGGACAGCCAGGGCTATACAGAGAAACTCTGTCTCGAAAAACAAAACCAAAAAACAAAACAAAACAAAAAAAAGAGACAGTGGCAGGTAAAACTCTTTAAGTTTGAGGCCAGCCTGGTCTACATACTGAGTTCTAGGCCAGTCAGAGCTACGTACGTAGTGAGACCCTGTCTCAAAACCAACACAAAAGCTGTTCCTGTTTGGAACATGAATTTAAGATATTCAAAGACTACCTTCAAGAATTACAGATATTTTAACTTTGCTGTTTACTGTCAGTTCATAGAAGTAGGCACTGCAGAGGTGAGTGCAGACGGTCGTTATTTAAAACAGAACTGCGGCACTGAACAAATGCTACGGAGGAGTCGTCTCGGTAACTCCTGGGGTTATATTTCCTCTACTTTTAGGTAAAGTTCTGTTAACACAGAAACCTTGACCTAATACAATCCAAGTTTTATTTAATAATGATCTATTTATAAGAAAAAAAAAACCAAATAGGTAATACCAGAGTAGATGCCACATACTTATGGAATATTGAATTTGGATATTCTCAAGGGTGTTAAAATGTCTATACACCAAGTTGTATTTCTCCATTAGGTCTGAAGAATATGAAAATACAACATCCTTTAAAGGAAGCTGTCCCTCCTTAGGGTCGGTTCTAGTAAGAGCTGGAGTGAACCCATCAGGTGTTAGGACAGAGGGAAACATGGGCTACTCACTTTCCCCAGCTCCTTCCTTCTGTGTGAGCCGAGTGGCCTGCTGTTTTTCACTGCAACATCCAGTGACCTCTTCTGTACTTCTCCCATGGGAACAAAAAACTCAAACCTTTAAAGTCAAAGCATTAGAAATGAGATTGACATGTAGTAATGTTTGTTGAAATCATAGCTTGTTTCTTCCACTTCCCACTAAAACCAGAGCTGTCAACTTTAAGATTTATTTATTTATGTGAGTACACTATAACTGTCCTCAGACACACCAGAGGAGAGCATCAGATCTTATTACAGATGGTTGTGAGCCACCATGTGGTTGCTGGGAATTGAACTCAGGACCTCTGAAAGAGCAGTAAGTGTTCTCAGCCACCGAGCCACCTCTCCAACCCAAGCCATCAACTTTTAAAATCGACAGAGTCAGTCTGGGCTCCCAGTGTGTCTTCATCACAGGTTAGCCTTGGGAATTGAGCTCCAGTCCTCTGCAAGAGCAGCAGGTGCTACATCCAGGCAGTGTCAAGAGGCTGCCTGAGGAGGGCCTCTCAGATGGCTGCTGTTCGGGGTGCATCACATCTGGACTCTACACTGACCATGGTTTTGCTGCTCTCTCACCTGCACCCACTCAGAGGAACACCTCACCCCTCTCTGTTCTGACCACGGAAAATAGTGACTGAGTCCCAGCCTTGTCATGGCTTGACAGGGGAACCAACCTCACTTAGAGGTTTCTGTTTAGGCTGGGGTCTGCTCATGTGCCTTCAGATAACCCTGGCTTTCATCTTGTAACTTTTAGAAAAGTTTCATCTTGAAATTTTTAGAGAGGATTACTAACAGATGTTAAACTCTCTCTCTTGTGTTCTGCTGTAGCCATTTTAACATCTTTGTATAACTGTCAGTACTCCTTCAAGGCAGTACCCACTCTGTGGCTAGAGGATGGTGTGTCTGGCATGGTGTTCAGTGAATGGTGGACTTTTTTGCAGTCTTTCTTGATGAGGATACACACAGACCAAAGAGGACTCGGTTTTGGCCTTTTAGAGTAGTTATGATTGATTAAAATAAGAGGAAAAGAAGGTCATATGTCCAACCTGGCTGGCAGAGCAGAGGAGGGTACAATGGTCAAGAGCCCCTGCTGTTCTTGCAGAGGACTGGAGCTCAATTCCCATCACCTACATCACGTGGCTCAAGGCCACCTGTAATTGCAGCTCCAGAGGGTCCAACACCCTCTTTTGGACTTCCAAGGCACTACTATACATGTGGAATACACACATAAATTTTTTAAAAGGACTTGCTACAACTGGACTCTTAACGAAAGCAAGAAATGTGCTTACAGTCTGCCTATCAGTTTTGTCGACATAGACGGATAGAAAGGATGTCTTTCACCTGCCAACTTTGCTATGTTGCAGGAGGGAAGGCGGGCCAGAGAACTGAGAGAAAGGATCTGTACAATCCAACACTGGGAACATTTTTTAAATTTGTTTTATTTATTTATTTATTTATTTATTTATTTATTTTTGTTTTTTCGAGACAAGGTTTCTCTGTGTACCCCTGGCTGTCCTGGAACTCACTCTGTAGACCAGGCTGGCCTCAAACTCAGAAATCCGCCTGTCTCTGCCTCCCAAGTGCTGGGATTAAAGGCGTGCGCCACCACTGCCCGGCGGGAACATTTTATCCTCGAAGGACAGCAGATGTGAGCAGCCTTGACCACATTTTTGGGTAGATTGCCCTAGCAGCCCTTTCTCCCACTAAAAAGTATATAGGGACTTCATAAAGTCATCCAGCCAGTGTTCTCCCCTACCCCCATATCTGGCAAGCTCCAACACATCACCTTGATACGCAGTACTGTGTAAACGGCTGAGGTTTGCTAAGTGCTGCCTACTCACGTCTCATCGAATAGGGGCTCCAGGGTCTTCTGCTTTACTGAAGTTTTCTTCCGACTTGCCCATCTCCTCTCTGGCAGCAGGTAGATGCGGACATAGGGATCAGCTCCACTGCTGGTGCATGGCGTCAAGTTTCTGACATGCAGAGAAAAGGAGTCCCTGGTTCTTACACGTGGAAAGTACTCATTTGGGAGGAGGCTGTACCAACCACTGGGGATTAGATGGGCTGGAGGACTAAAATCCTCTGTACTCTAGACAAATGCAAGGCAAAAGTCTGCACAATTAAAGGACAGGAGACCAGCTGTGGTTTTGAACATATATTTTGTGCTGTCTAGCCAAGTACTTTGTACCTAAGGAAGTTGGTAGTTCCTGCTTAGAAAGGCTGCCCCAAGACAGTAGCTCAGAACTGCCTGAGCAAAGCCCTTTTGACCCCATCAACACCCAGAGAGAAGGGCCACTCAACACACCCACTTGGAGGGTTTTTGCTACCCATGGCCTATGGGTCCTCAAATGTCACTTAGGAGGACATGCTCCTGCCATCACCCTAAGCACACCTGCTATATGGTCACCTGATCCTTCCAAAGGACCTCCCTGGTCCCAGAACCTCTTTACCTGCAGCCGTTGACTAGCACCCTGAGACAGTGTCGAAGACACACATAGCGCACTGTGAGCTGAATCTCACCCAGCCGTCGCTGCCTGGAATCCCCAACTCTGTGAAAAAAGGGTCCTGTTACTGTCAGAAGTGTCCCTCTTCCCTTCACCTGAAGTCAGAGACAAATGTCCTCTGTGAGGAACACAGTCCTCTGAGTCAATAGTTCTCTTCAGGGCTCCACTCAGCATTCAGTGTGATTATCCGGATTCTCAGTAGAAAGCACGACCGACCCTGGAGGGAACTGGCCCTTATGTTGTGGTTGCTTGAATTGGGATTTTATAATGGTCTCTTCTGTTTTGTAGGGTTATTAAGAAGATTGAGTTAGATCAGGTAACATGCTAAGCCCAAAGGAAGCACATAATACATGGTAGCCGCTTATCATGTAAGTCCATATTCTAAACTTTTCTTGTTAGCCCACTATACTTAGAATCCAGGAAATGTTTCTATGGAAGGGACCTTAACAACTGACATCTATGTACTGAGAGCCATAGGCCAACCTTAGACCTCTCCCCTCACCCCGTGTTCTTCCTATTAGTCCAAGCTGCCTCTTGTAACCACACTTTGTGAGAAACTTGAACGTGAGCAAGTCTGTACGTTCCTATCTACTTTTCATGCAAGTTATTTTAGACAAGATCAAGCAGAGAGATGCATACTCAGTGTTGAAGCTGACATCTGTCAGGTCAAAGCAGGAAGAGGCCAGGGAGTTGAGTGAGGACATGCTGGGAGCCACCCTTGTGAGTGGCCATGCGAATGGGAAGGCAGGGCGGCCCATGGGTCTAGGTGACTTGATGGGCCCTGGAGAGTGGGGACCTGGAACCGTCAGGAAGTTGGTAGCTGGGTTCTTCTTCTTCCCCGGGGACTCACAGAGTCCTTTGGCACTGTCCTTCCCTTTGGGCTCCAGGCCTGTCTCCTGGGGCTCAGGCTTAGGTTCAGGGGCTGGGGTGGGCGTGCTGATGTTATCAGTGCTCTTGGAGGCTCCCTTGATGTAAGAGGCAGGGTTTGAGGTGTTTGCCACATCTGCAAGGCCTTCTTTTAGGGGTGGGGCTTTACAACCCTGGTTGGTGGCCACCTTCTTGACGAACAGAGGACCTTTCTTTAGAGCGTCGGGTCCAGTGTATGGGCTTCCCAGCTCTCGTTCCTCCACACGTAAGAACTGGAGGCAGATGACAAGGTTGTTTATAGAGAAAGTCTACCCCAAACACGCCATCTGATAGACCTGTCATTAGAGTTTCCAGTTCATATTCAGACTTGCTATGGGTTTTAAAAACCACTAAAATTAACATAACAATGCGTCTAGGTCTCTAATGTTGTGCGGTTCTCTGCTGGAGCAAGAGCTAAACCTCTCCAGCAGAGAACAGCCTTGATCAACACCCAAGGAACACTGAACACACGATAGCCACAGAAGAGTCACCCTGAAAACACAGACAAGCTAAACAGCAAAATTTATTCCCAATACCCTTTTACGGGTCATAGTGTGAAGACTGGGTATTGTGGGTGTATAACATGTGCCTCCCTAAACCTTTTTACGACCATCACACTCCCAAACCCCTAAGATCTCCAGACAACAGAACTAACAGATTACAATGTAAACATTTGAAATGACTAAAGACAGAATGGGAAGGTAGGCATGAAAAAGACCAGGCGGATTTGGAAGGGTTGAAATTAAGACGAAAAGAAAATTACTGTTAAAATAAAAACCACACTGAAAGATAGTATGGCAAACAGTGATTAGGATGATGGTTCTGAGGAAATCAGCTGCGAATGGAAGGGAAGGTGTGGAGCCTGGAGAGCCAGGGCCAGTCAGTGTGGTGGCGTGGACCAAGGACGGACAGAGGCAAGCATGGAGGTTCTAGAAAGAGCGATGAGACGAATGGGACAGGCAGAGTTTGAAGCAACAAGAGTGGACAGTGGATACATTTCTATGGAAATATCTCCTGGCCCCAATGAGACTGAACTTTCAGCAGACCTCACAGCAAAGTTGATAATATCCTTGAGACCATTTAAGACTGTACTTAACCCACTATCCCTACTGTGTACTTAACCCGCTATCCTACTGTACTTAGCCTGTTACGTTTTCATTCCTTAATACACCGGCATGGAAGGAACTCTCAGAGGTTATCTTTGATGTGCTGACCCGGTGGGTAGATGGAGACATAAACCTCTCTCCTGGCTTTTACATTCAACACATGCTCAGTGCTGGGACCTGTTCCACCCCAGCCCCACCCACCAAGACAGGAGATATTTACCCGAAGCACCAGCCTCATAGAGATGAAGCTGTCCAGGCCTGAGTGATCCAACTGGAAGCACTGTTCAAGGGTGAGGTCGGCACAGGGGAGGATGCGGCACAGGGGGAACTCCAGCACTCCCAGAGCACACTCCAGCTCATCGTCTAGCACCTGGGCAGGGGGCCAGTCACCAAATCAGGGGAGAGCTAAGCCCACGTGCTACCACTGCTACCTGGTCCTGGAGAGTCTGGGCTTAAGTATAGACTATGGAGTAATTAGCATCTGGCAGGAATGAAAACAGGCCAGACCCTGTACCTGCTGAGACTCTTGGGGGGAGAGTGACTCAGAGCAGAGGTAATGATGGTCTGCAGGAGGCTAGTCTGCATACACCCAGGATGGGGGGGGGGGGCTTTTGTGCTGCTGCGTGAGAGGACAGTTAGACTTAGTTACAGCTCCACCACTTGTTGGCCATAAGCTCTTGGGCAGATCGTTGGCTTAGCCTCTATTTACTTGTGTGAAAAGGTAATTCTGCAGCTCCTTTGTAAATATTAGGTTCTAGCACAGAACCCTGATATTGTGATACTGTAAAGATCATTTGTACAGAAGGAACTAAGGGAGTGAACCGTTTATCTTCCCAGTCTCCTACGTGTTGACCTCACCAGCCTTAAGGAGGGCTTGTGGGGCCTCATGGCACCCCGCACCGCCACGCACAATGGGACTGACTCCCAGAACTGCCCAAGGTACACAGAAAACTCTCTCCTGCCCTTGGCCTAGAAATCTCCCAACTGTCCGCAGAGCCCAGCTTCAAGCAAACCTTCAGGCAAAGCTGCTCAGATGCCACGCTGTGCACAAAGAAGGAGAACACCTGGCTCCACACAGGGTCCTTGCTGTGGGGACAGGTCTGAGAACAGAAAAGGGAAAGATCATCTGAGGGCCAGGTGGATACGCTCTGCTCAGTGTGGCCACCAGCTACCTGGGGAACCTGGGGACAGTGAGTGTAGCAGAAAGGTGTGGCTTCAGACCATGCTCCAAGGTAAACCCTGATTCTGCTGGCCTGTTCTTGGTGGAGTCGCTTGCCACATAGGAAGGGATTCTGAAGGTTTTTTAAGCATTCAGCATGAGAAAACTCCCTTTATTTTGTCTCTCCTTAAAAGGGGTAGGAGCTCCATGTCCTTCTCTCAGGCCTACACAGAAACTCTCTTACCTTACTTGTAAAGGTCTTCTTGCCTACAGAGAGCTTGACATATGAAGAAGGGTCTCTGCTGGCCTTATTCTGTAAGGGGGAAATGCACAATGTTTCAGGGTAGGCCCAAGACAGCCTATCCCTCTCCATCCTCCCCATTACCCACCCCCAGGTATATTGTGCCTCCTGTTGGGGAAAAAAGCTTCCTGGCGTCAAGGGCTGCACTATGGCAGTAGGAACCCAAGCTGCAGACCAGAGGCCAGAACTGGAACAAACATGTCCAGTTCTACCTACCACGATCCCCAGGCCCTCCACCCTCTGGATCGTTTTTATAAAATAGCAACCACTCTTGCCCCAAACAACAAGAAAAGCTGGAATATATTACTATGGGACTCCAGGGTAATGACTGAGAACAAAGTGAGCCAAGGCTATGTGACAGACAGACCCTGGCTATCGTCACTTCAGGGAAAGAGTTAGGGTCTCAGCTACATTCACTTACTTTGACAAACCTGGAGAGTTTTTTGGCTCGATATTCACCATTCAGATAGTCAAAAGGGTTTCTCTGCAGCACAAGAATTGGGGTTAAAGCAACACAGGGGCATCTGACAGTGCTGGCCATAAGGCAGATGTTCACCACCACTCACCGGCAGGTTGCAGGCATTTTCTAAGAAGACCACAAGGATGGCAGTGGAGAGGCCACTATCGTTCTGCAAACAGACACAGCCCTCACTGAATACTCCCAGAAGCAGGAGACAGGCAGCTTTGGGAAAAGTCTACTCAGGGCAGAAAGCAGCCAGCCCCTCCTCATGCTAACAACTTAGTTTTATGTCGGCCAAGAACACATCTGCACAGGATAGGCTCAAGTTAGACAAAATAGATGTCCCTCTGAAATCGGGGGACAGGCCCTGACACAGAGCTCCAAAGACCCCCATCTTTGCTGAAAATTATTGACTGAAGTTCAGAGGCTGTTTACTGAGAGATGAGGAGCTGCTCTGGAGGAGAAAAGGCTGGCGTGACATGTTCTCTAGGAGACAGCAACAAATGGGGGCCCCTTCCTTCTTCGCCTCTACCTGCACGCAATAGAAGTATGTGTGGAGGGTATCTCCTTTCCTGTCTCTACTTGAACCATGAGGCAAAGAATGGACTCTTCCTTCTCCTCCTCTACCTGAGGCTCCTCCCCTGACAATCCTTTCTGCTAGGGAGCCACTGACACCCGCTCACCTCCGTCAGCGCTTCTGGGTCAGTGAGCAGAGAGAGCCACTCCAGCCGCAGGTGCAGCCGCCCGCTGGTTGTGTCATTCAGGACAAACCACTGTGGGTCAGGAAGGAAAGGAAAGCTCAAGGATGGAGATAGGCTGCTGACGATTTGGGGGCTGTAGTTTCAAGACTAGAGGCAAAGGTTAGCCAACCCAGAGAGAGCCCAGCAGACTCAGAGGGACTGGCGGGTGTAGGAGGAAAGTCCTACACTTTGGGATTGTAGAACCAGCTCCAGCCTCCCTCCTTGTGATGTGACTCCCTTGCTGAGTTGGCTTATTCTACAGGTATTTTCCAGGGAAACTTCTAACTCCAGCCAGAGGGGGCTCCCCGGAGCCAACCTGGCCTCACCCATCTCTCCTCCCTGGGGATGGACATGTGTGCAGCCCAGGGCCAGGTGGCTGAAGTGACCTGCGAGAGCTGTGCACTGAGAGGGGTGTCCCTGGAAACCCCGGGGCTGGGTGGCCGTCTCTACCTCATCCACCACTCTGTTCTTCATGACATCTCCAAGGCAGATCTGCAGGCTGAAAGACCGAGAGTAAGGACAACAATGTGCCTCGGGGGCCAGGGGCCCACAGTGGCCTCTCTGTTCTCAAATGACTGGATGTGGCCACTGGGATAGTGGTCTCTGTCATCCCAGGTAAACAGTGGGAGACCAGTTGCAGCTGGATAGAAGGTAGGTCTAACTAACCTCCAGGGTTGCTCTACTGGGCCTATTCTGTAGGGAGGAAGTGGCTCCTGGCCCCAGTAGGGACAAGCAGAGGTCTGGATACATCCCCTCTGGGTTTCCAACAATACTGCGGTTGGCATTTTGAGTGGGGTAATTCTTCATTGTGCAAAACTGTTCATGCATCACAGGAATTTGCCTTCCTGGCTGGACCCATGCCCTCTAAATGCCAGAGGCACTTTAATAGTCAAATGCCCTGACTTGAAAACTGGTTCCAGTGCACTATAAGTGGCAATAAGTGGTACTAGTGTCATGTAGGTGGCAATAACAGATGACATATGTGTGAGAAAGCCAGGAAATCCCGTATCACAATGTTCCCCTAGCCTATCACAAGCCAAACCCAACCTGCAGGTCCTGTGAGTGTGACTCAGAAGTGTGCACGCATCCAGCATGTACCTGAACTCAGCCCTGGAAGGAAGTACCACAGCCCATACCTTCCACCCACAGCACTACAAACTACAGTCTCTGTGACCACGGAGCCTCCAGAACGAGCAGCACCTGCCATGAGCCGTGTATTCTATTTCTTTGGTCATGTTTCTACTTGTTACAACTCCATACTCAGGGAAATGAGCTGCACACTACAGGGGCATAAGATTCGAGTCACTTCTGCTCTGAGGAAGAAACATCTATATCACCCCTTCTTGTTCCTCTGTCCTTTCTGGATGGAAGGCTGGATCCACAATGGCCAAGTCACTACACAAGCTCTACACTGAAGTTTTTGTACAGAAAGGCAAATGTATTCTAACACTGAGCTAGTATCTAACAAGGGAGAGTGTTTCCTGTGGCCACAGAGACTTTGGCAGTAAGCGAACTTTGGGCTAGTGCCTTTATAGGAGGTTCCTGTAAGTAGATCCTGTCTAGACTAAAAAGAAGTCTGAGCTTGCTGACCAGCCCACAGGGGTCCCTTCAGTAGCCTTGAGCTCTGAGCATCAGCACACAGGGAATGACCAAGCCTCCTTGGAGTTGAGCACCTTGCTCACTGTTCCAAAAGGGACTCTGGGTAGATTCTTAGTGGGGACATGAGCCCTGGGGTCCCCTCTGTACTTCTTACCACTCTCCTCCAGGGCCTATGTCAGGGCTAGAAACATCTAGAGAGGTTTCTAACAGGACTGTAGAATGCTGTGGCAGACTGTCTGGTACAGTCACTCTTGTCACAGTGGCCATTGTCACAGGGGGTTGCAGGTCATTAAGCAGTGAGAGCCTGTCCTTTCTATATGCCCCAAGTCCCACCCTTGTATCCTAAGCACGGACAAAGCTCCAAAGCCCAGATCCTCAGTCCTCACCTGCCCAGGAAGTCATCCTTGTCAGTATCCTCATCATACAGGTCCACCTCCAGGTCCTGCCCAGGCACCTCATACACCATAAACTGCAAGGACAGAGAAGCATCTTGACTGCCGAAGCAGACCTTCCAACCCACAGACTGCCAAAGCCCAGCTTAGGGCCTCCCTGGAGGGAAGCAGAGGGGACCAGAGACAACACAAGCACTCCATAGCATGGTGCCCAGAGGACACTGGTTGCCATCTGCTCTGCCTTAGGCGGTCACATTCTCCTCACATGGGGACTGTGGGACATCAGGAAACTAAGCTGCCCTTTCTCCACCTGCTTTCATTGCCTGGGACTGGATGTAACAGAGCACGTAGATAGTTATAAGAAAAGGGGCAGTTAGGTGGTGACCCTGAAATGTGACTGCCAGGCTGTGAGTCCCACCCATCCAGTAACAGAGAAGGTTGAGAGCCTGGACATAACCGCTTATGCAGTCTTCTCCTTTCACTGAAAACATTCACAGATGATTCCGAGGACGAAATGGCACAGAAAATGGGGTCAGAATAGCTTACCTCCGAGAGCCTGCTAGACAGGGAGCAAGAGTTACACAGACCTACCTGCCCATTAACAAGACTTTTACACTAACCATGGCTTCTCTGAGGGGCCATGAGAGCCACCGTGCCCATCACAGCCCAGAGTGAAGCCTGCAGACACCAGGACTTCTGAGGGAGGCTGAAGAGAACCTTACCTCAAACACTTCATTCCAGGTGGGGTTCAGGTTCTTGTAGACGGTTCTGCTCCGGCAGTGCTGCAAGCCAATGCTCACCTTGGCGTAGGGGTCTGACTTGCCTCCGAGCCCTAAGAAGTTGTCCTTCTGGGCCAGGTTCTTGGCCTCCAGCAAATGGACTCTGATCACACCCTGAGAAACACGCAAGCTCCAGTTCACAAGTGCCTTCTTGACATACCAGCCTTAAGTCCAGGATATCAGGGCCCAAACCACTAGAGATCACTGCTGCCCCCTTTCACAGTCTGGACAGAAATGGCAACCAGAGATAACAGTGACCTAGCCAAGGCCACACAGCACCTAGGGACAATGCCCAGTGCTCTAAAGGCTCTGGCCTTCCCACACACTCCCCAGACTTTACAAACAGCTGGTTCAGCTGAGGCTGTTTCTGTTCCCCCTTTCTTCAGCACTGCTAAGAAACTGGTACATAAACAATGCTAGGGATACTCCGGGCAGCATGCTGTGGCCCTGCCTGCATTGGTGGTAGGTCCCTGTATAAGGCATAAGAGCCTCCTTGAGTATCATCCACCACAAGGAAGACCCTTTTCCCACACTCCAACTATTTAAAAGAAATGCAAAACTGAACTTGGAAAGTTGCAGTTCATTGGTCTTCAGGTATGACTCTTTCCTGGAACAATACTCTTTAAAATACCAGTAAATGTATACACAGTTCTTTGATCTAAAAAACTACTTTGAGTAATGTATCTACGGGCACACTGGCAAAAACATAAAAAGACCTGTGCGCAGGCTGCACACTGCACCAGTGTTTTATGTTTTTGCCATAATCTGACTGTCAACAGAGCTGGTGTTGCAGTGACAGTAATTCCCACAGTGAAGCACTCTGCGCCATCAGCAGAAATGTGGAAGGCTCTATCTGTACTGTGGCAGCAGGGCTCTGTGAGAAATGTAGCGATAAAAGCGAGGAAGGGAAATAACACTAGCATCTATCAAAGAAATAGAGACTGTGGTAAATACCCTTAAGCCCTTTTCTACTGTAGAATCTTCCTAACACACATGTACACACAAATAGTGTCATCCTATAACAGTAGGGTGAATATGCCCTGCTAGACTTACTTCATAGGCTAACAACACTCCAAGCGCCAGGAGTGGGTTACCTGTGTTGGAACTATTGTCCCCACAGACCCCTAAACGTTACTGTCACTGCTCTTGGTCACCGTCCAGAACTTGACAATAAGAGTCTTGCTAAAGATACCATACACTTGAGTCCTAGAACGTGGAGCAATCAGGCTGGTTCTGACCTGGAAGCTTTATTTTCTACTGGCTAACTTTCATAGTGTTATGCATGTTATTGGAGGGGGAAGAGTAATCAATGGTACCTAGCTGTGAACCCTAAAAGCTCCAGTAATGACTGGGCTGGCAACACATGTCCACTGGTGCAATAGTGGACATATAGTGGTACACAACCACTTTCCTACTGGACTTACAGTCCATTCCTCTAGATGGAAATACCCGGGACTATTATTGTTTTCAAGAATCTATAGCTAGATTCCACTATTCTGCTAATATAGTATTAAACTGACTCCCAATGACTTATCAAATGCATACGTTAGTACATGTCTCAGCCCTCATCCGACAAGCTTCGCTTTGTAGCAGGTGGTGATTAACACAGAACATGAGACTAGAATACTCAGCCCTAAATGGGACATCTGTATCCCAGCCCCTCCCCCCAAAGCTCGGGGATCACTGTAGAAGAGGAAGTGGAAAGACTGTAAGAGTCAGAGGTGGTGGGTCACTACAAGGAAACGGTGTTTTCCAGACACAGCCGTGGACCTGAATACATGAACTCACAGTAGTTGTGACAGCGTTTACAAGACCTAGGCAAGCTCAAGCCAGACCCAGTTACAGGGAGAGGGAAAGTCAGTTCTCTCTCAGGTTATAGCCCCTGGTAAGTTAATTCTCTTCCCAGCAGGATCGATGGCCAGTAGCTCCTCAGCTAGGAGTGAGCACTCATGGCCTTTGAGTCCAGCTTCCTTCTCCAGAACATACTGTATGACATTCTCATAAAACAAATCAAAATCGAACAATAAAAGGAAATGAGGACATAAGTGTAAGCAAAGATGTACACATATGACCATGTATACGTGCCCACATTTACTAATGCTCAAATCCAGTAGAACAAAAACATTACTTAGGTGGGGGGCAGGGACTGGATATTGACCTTTAGAAGCACACGGCTACTTTATGTAATTGTAAAGAAAATTAAAAAGTTAAACTTGAATATAGAGAACAGAATGAAATCAATGTAAATATTGGTGGTCGGTTACCAGAAACACAGAAACTACCACCAAAGAGTTTTAAATGTGTAAACTGTCAGTACATTCCCAATGGAATATACTCGGAGAATAAATGTGTTTAGGGATTCTTACACGGGTGAGACGGACTGCTGTATATGTCATGTGGATGGGAGCCCATGACGTACCATGGGAAGACTGGGGACATCCATGCCCCCTCCCTAGCCAGCTCTTGCCCCTGAACTTAGTGTGCGCACTACAGTGTGTGTGAGAGTGAGGACGGGCAGAAGGCCTAAGACTTTTCACCTGGCAGACAGTGAAATGGATAGGTTTTCCTCTTCAATGGCCCCCAACCGCAGGTCCTTAGCCAGTGCTTCTTTTTGTAGGGCAGCCACAGGGAAATCAAGGCCTCGTGAGTGGGCCCCAGGAAGATGGGGGAAAGCTGACTCAGAACCCAAAGAATTTCCAGTCCTACTTTAACCAAGAACCTTCCTATTCTATAGATCCGAAGGTCTTTCCACCACTGAACAGTGTCAAGGGAGCTTTCCTAGGGAGGAAGGAGGACCTCAGATGTCACAGAGTGTCTACCATAGTTCCAACTGCAGGCTACACTGGGGACAGGAGAAGAGTAAGGGTTCTGATCCTTCCCAGATGGTGACTTTGGACAAGTCACACACCCTCCCAGACTCAGTGGCACCCTGTGAAATTGGTTACCACGACCTCAAAAAGAGCACAAGGATTCTCACCAATGAGCACTGCTCAGAACCCTGCCCTTGGCAGCCCCCCCCCCCCTCACTGGCCTGATGCTCTGGAGCTAGCTCCCAGTACTCACACAGGGGAGAGGGACGCGCAGGTTGGTTATATCCAGCCCCTTCTTCACAGGCACAGTCACACGGTTGGGCAGCACCAGGTGGGCAGCAATGAGGTCCTCCAACAGGCTATCTGATAACTCACTGAAAGGGACATTGACCAGCTGTGGAGGGGTGACATTGCCTCCCCTGTGTCACCTGCCCCTGTACCCATCCTCAGTGCTGACACTGAGAACCTAGCTTGGCAGAAGGCTCCACCCCAGATAACGCTGACCTGCTGCCCAGATGCTGGGTTGAAGTGGCTATACATTCTGACACCTAGACATATTGACCCAAAGAGCATCCTGCTTGCATCCCACCCCCAAAGGCTTTGCTTTATTCACAGGCAACACCAAGCACCTTAATAACTGGTCCCAGGGCCTAGGTCAAGAGTCCCATTCATATTCCCTAGCTGCCCTGCCTTAGATGGATGTCCCCTCTTTCTTGACCTCAGTGACCTGACTCAGGGATGCTAATGGCCATGCTTGGAATAGATGTGAAGGGGTGGTGGGTACAGCACTGAGAACATCCCTGAGGCCACTGGAAACATGACCTATGAGTGACCACTGAAGCCTTTTTCTTCCTTGACCCTGCTGACATTCTCTAGTCCCTGGCTCACCTTCCCCCACAATGCGGAGGCGGGGTGGCGGGGGACAGTACCCAGAGCAGGGCCAGCACACAGTAGGTGCTCAAAAAGTCCTTTTTGAATAACAGTGCTTTTTGCTTAAATGTGACATCTTTATCAACCCCCTTTGCCAAAGTTCAGGGACATGATGGAGGTGGGAAGAACTGTAGGAGGCAGAGGACAACAGGGAGGAGTTAAACGCCAGCCTCTACACATGACACAGCCATCACGTTCATGAACTCAGCACAGCTACGGTGACCTGCACAGGACACACATAAGATCAAGCCAGCCAAAATTCCAGCATAAATGGGGGAGGAGCTCTCCCCGATAACTGAGAATTTACTGGGTGTGGGCAGCTGCTGATAGAGGGATTGTTTACAAGGGTCTGGGCACTGGGAGATTTCTCATGCTTCAGTGGAGGGATCTGTACTCATGCACATATAGGCAGCATTAATTGGCCAACAGGTTATTTAAAATAAAAAGGAGGACATGAAGTCAGAAGGAGGATGTGGAGGGCTGGGAAAAGTTAGAGGGGGAAGTGGATGACAGATAGCGGATGATGGATTTCACTGTACGCATGTATAAATGAAATGTAAGCAAAGACTGGGAGAAAAGCTTCGTGACTGGGTCCTCTCCATTTAGAACAGAAGAGACATCCCCAGGGAGCATCCCCTAGACAGACAGCTGATAGCCTTCTTGGCCAGCCCAGCTGACCCTGCTTCCTGAGGAGCCAAATCCAATGATGCCAGCCCTTCCTCCGTTCCTTGAAAGATGCCTGGTTTCAGAAGGGTGCCTGCACCTGGCCTGAGGAGGAGAGAGATCCTAGTCCTGCCCCTTCTCTCTGGTCTCTGCTGGGAAATGCACCTTCCCATCTCTGTGCATATCAACTATGGTCACGGAAGTCACCTGGGAGTCTTAGTACACTGGGGATAGCGAAGGGTGGAGGGTGAGGACATATACAATCACAGTGTGATTCGGCCATACATAAGTGCATGTGCTCTGGGAACCTCAGGACTGAAAAACCTGGCCCCTCAGTCTAGAACTGAGCACAGCTCTCAGCAGGACTGTTCGCACCTGTCCACACGTTAGCCCCCTCCAACCACACATGAGCACACACAAGCACACATGCACACTCCCACATGTCCCCTGGTGCTTGCCCCTTTTGCCCACTCCTTATGCAGAGTGTGTTTGTGGGGTACGGCCTCTTCAGCTCACAGCACTGTTAGGAGAGTCCTCCACACCCCAGGCACTTACTTGATACCCGGCATGTCCAGCAGGTTGGTCAAGCCTGTCCAGTTAATCTGCAGGTGCTGCAGGGCAGAGGGAAGCTATTAGGTTCAAGGAGCTGGGAACCCAGGGCTCATACCTTCTCCCAAACTCTTCATACCCCAGAAGGGAGTACCGTATCTGCTGGGGTCCACCCTCAGCAGGAGTGAGGTAGAAAGGATGTCTCTCAGCCTGCCGAACCTGTCCTGGGATATGGAGGAGTGTCCTAGCTAGTTATAATTCTCAACTTGACACAACTTAGAGTCATCTGAGAAGCCTCAATTAAAGGATTGCTCAGACCACACTGGCTTATGGGTATGTCTGTAAGGGTGTGTCTTGATTGTTAATTGATATAGAAGGACCTGCCCACTGGGGGTGACACTATTCCCTGGGCAGGAGGTGGTCTTGGATTGTATAAGAAGCTAGGTAAGCATGAGACTCAGTGGGCTAGCAAGCAGGTTTCCTCTGGTTTCTGCTTTATGTATCTGCTTGAATCTCTGCTCCTACTTCCCTCAGTGAGGGGGCTGTAGGCGAAATAAACACATTCCTCCCCTTGATTGCTTCTGATCAGCGTTCAAACACAACAGCACAAAGAGACTAGAACGAGGAGGCTCCAGGCCTTAGTTTAGGCTGCTGCTTCATGCCCAGACCACTACAGAAGGGGGCTGTGCCACACAGCCAGGTTGGTCTGGACTCCAGAGCCCAGGTTTGTCTCAGCTCCACCTTCTGAGACCTTGTGACCATCTTTCAGCTCAGTCTCCTCAGTATGGGCAGAGCTGAACCAAACTCCTTGAGGTTGCCTTAAGGACTACATCGGTTTCAGGCATAGGCGTCCAGCTGTGGTGAGTTACAGTAATCTCCATTCTCAGCCTAAATGCCAATATATGAGGTCCAGTGCTCTATCACAGGGAGTATCAGGCCTGTTCCTAGGCTTTGAACTCACCGGCTTTTGAAGGAAGAACACAGTCACAGCTCCTATGAAGGGCTTGTCCACCAGTAGCGGCTCCAGAATGACACGCAGGGTCCCCTGCAACTGGCAGGCACAGAGAGCCGTGAGGGACCTCCTTTCTTCTCATACCTGCTGCTCTGCTCAGCCCCTTGTGGCCTTGTTATCATGCCAATGACACTGTCAAGGCCACCTGCCTGGGCCACGTGCTGTCACTAAAAGGCCCATACTTTATGTTCAGGAGCCTTATACGGCTATGACCCTGATGCTGGCCACCAAGGGCCATGAGCTAACTATACTGTGTAGGCAGATGGGGTGGCTGGGACACCAAAGTGACTTCCAAATCTGGACACAGATTCTGGTGAGGGGTATTGCCACCTCCCAGACTACCTGGATCTCAGCTATGGCTCTCCCTCAGTTCCCTAGGTGTCCAAAGCCTTTGGGGACTCGACACACAGGTGATTCCAGAGCCCAAGGACCAGTAAGGTTAGTGAAGCCCAGGACCACTTGCTGACTATGTGACCTCATAGCTGCTGCCATGATGTTACCAACCCATGTCTGGTACCATCGTGACCTTCCCAGCCTGTTCCAGGGTGAGCTGCTTCCACGGAGCCCACTGTGGGGGCCGGGGCAGCCAAGCGTCCTCATTCACCTGGACACCGTTCACACCACCCCGGATCTTCTGAAGCTCCACGCTGATCTCACAGTCCCCGATGTAGCTGAAACAGGAAGAGTGAAGGAAGGAGAGGAAAGAGCAGGCAGGAAACTTGCCCAGTGCTCTGCAGCCTCAGCCATTGTTGCTGGCCATCAAGCCCCAGCTGTCACTCAGCATGTCACTTATCCTACAGCCTCAGCCCCTCCCAGACTCCTGCACCTGATGGCTTGGGCATATCCCAACTCTGTGACAGCAGTGTCCTGTGGTACCACCTAGCCCCAGGGCACCCATGGATGAAAAGGACCAACTTTTGATAAATACACTACTGTCCCTCTGTCAGGTGTAAAAGGATGGCTTAGTTCTTGGCTGGGCATGGGCCTTGAACCCTGACCCCAATGGGGAAATGGCAGGTGTTCGGCAACGCCCCCAGAATCCAGGCTCCTGACACTTGGTCTAGCCCTCCATTTAACTCGTGTCTTGCAGTCACGTTTGGCTATGCAGCCCCTCCCAAAGGGGTGTCACCTAACACAGCAAGAGGGCGTGACTACAGGCTTCAGCCCCAAGAGATTGCCACATTAATAAGGTACCTAAAGGCCAGAGGGCGTAGCTAATTAAGTGACCCTCTTCCCCCTCTCCCTCCCTATTTAAGCCAGGCCCACACTGGCTTAAGGGGGGGGCTTCACCCAGACCATCTACATTCCCCATGAACAATAAAGCCTTGGAACCCGGGATTTTCTCGTGTTATTGGTGCTGTTGTTGTGGAGGACCTCTCTGCATTCCAGCCACGGGAACAGATTGAGGCCAATCGATCCCAGGCTGCCTCTGGGCTCAGGGATTCCCCCCATAAGAACTCTGCCCTGCCCTGCCCTGCCCTGCCCTGCCCTGCCCTGCCCTGCCCTGCCCTGCCCTGCCCTGCCCTGCCAAAACCAGGCTGGAGTTCGCTCCCCGAGTGGGCCACCGTCTTCCTGAGGCACCTGCCCCGGGCAGAAGATGCGCGGACCAACAATGCAACCAAGATCCACGCCTGCGTGGACACACGTGGGCTCATCAGCTTTTCCCCCGCATCCCTCTACCATTTCTGGGTCCCTGATCAAGGGGACACTGGTAGTGCCCCCAGGGTTCCTCCTGCCATCACCCCTAGTTGTTGCTGGAGGTAGAGGTAGGTGATAAAGTCTTGGAGATGGGGTCAACTGGTGGCCCCTGTCAGTGATGGGCCCTGAGGAGCCCAGGATGGGTGCCTTTGAGGGTAAAGGTCACGAGACTGCCTAAGGTCTGAAGGAGACTAAGGGGAAGGGAGGTAATTGTCACACACCTGCACGCATGGGCATAGGAGCCTGTTGTCACAGACCACAGAAATCCTTGGTGAGAAGGGACAGGCAGAAGGGGGTGCAGGGGTGCCAAGCACCTACTGAGAGGCTGAACTATTCATATGAGGATCTCACGGTAGAGCTTTTGGGGCCAGGGGTACTTTATGGCCTGCTGGCATCCCAACACAATGGAGATCAGCTCCTAAGAGGGTGGCCCCAGACTCAACTTCTGGTGTCTGGCCAAGGCCAAGGAATATGAAACTCTGGGAAGGAATGGCAGCCACAGGGGCTAGTTCTGTCCTCTTAGCACACCTCTAGAGAGACTTACTTCCTGACCCAAGCCCATCATGAGCCTCACAGGAAAGATGCCCATGCCCAGCTCAGTACACAGTCACTGCTCATAGTTGACCCTCTAGCTTTCCTGATATGTCAGAGACCAGCCTGTCATCTCTGAGCTTAAAGTTCCCTTCCTCAGCACAAGCCTCTTCTTCTCTTGCCACACCCATTCCCTTTGGCCGCCTCCTCAGCAGAGGCTGCTCTGACCCTCAGGTAGCCCAGCTGTGGCTCGCAGGAAAGCTCTGTTGCCTGGCTGGGTTGCACAGAGCTGCTGGGGTGCAGGAAGCCAGACTAAGGCTCAAGAGTGAGCCATGGTTGGCTATTTGGAGATAGTCATTCATCCATCCACTTTTCTATACCCAACCTTTTACAAAGACTTGGGTACCGGCCTGGAGGTGGCTGTGGTCCTAGAAAGTCTTTCATACCCCAAATCTGTGTGCACACAATCCACTCTATCTCCAAACTGCTATCTAATGCCTGCCCCTAGACAGAAGGACTCACCAGATCTGCAGGTCCAGGGTCACTTTCCTCCGATTGCATTTGTCTGTGTGTGCCTTGACGCCGTTCACCTTGGGACACTAGAAAAGATGACAGAAGGGCTTGGGTCCCCTTCTTCCTGTCCCTTCTTGCCACAGCTATTTGCCAGTATCTACCTATGAGGCCTTGGCCTGGATAGGAAGCCAAGGGACAGTGAAGTCCTAGGTTGGCCTCATATACCCACAGCCCAGCCCCAGACAACAGTGGAACAGGAGGAGTCAAATAAAGATAACTGGATATTAGCCATAAAGTACAGAACACCCATGATACACCCCACAGACCCAAAGTAGTTAAACAAGGAAGGCCCAAGTGAGGATGCTTGAATTTCACTTCGATTGGGGAACAAAATAGTCATGGGAGGCAGAGGGAGGGAGGGATTTGGATGGGAGAGGGGAGGGGAAGAGAAATGTGGAGCAGAATCAGGTGTGGGAAGAGACAGGAGAGTGACCCAGAAGGCTAGGAGAATGAATGGAAATCTGCAACTTTTGGGGGCGGGAGGGTGGGCAGTCTCAAGGCAGTCTCTGAGACCTGGGATTGGGAGGCTCCAAGGAGTCAACGTGGGTGACCTTAGCCAAGATGCCAAACTGTGGGGACATGGAACCTGAAGCCACACCCTATAGCCAGGCAGGACCCCCAGTGGAGGGATAAGGACTCAACTCCACCCACAAAACATTGGACACCAAATTTGTCCTGTCAAAAAGATATGCAGGGACAAAGATGGAGCAGAGACTGAAGGAATGCCCAACCAATAGCCAGCTCAACTTGAGACCCATCCCATGGGCAAGCACCAACCCCTGACACTGATAATGATACTCTGTTATGCTTACAGACTTCCTGGGGGGGTCCAATCCCTTCTGTTTCCATCTCCCCCTCTGCCCATTGTTCTCTCAGGTACCCTGGTTAAGACTAATCAGTAAAAACTAAATTTCATTTGTACCTGAATTAGTAATATGTCTAGCAAGGCGCTGAGGGGAAAGTTCACTGATCTACTTAGCTCTGCAGAGAAAAAGGAATGTAAAGATATGGATATATTGAAATCAGACACAGCGAGAGATTAACATCCGTACAGTTTAGGTGTCAAGTTGTGAAGCTCGTTGAATAATCCATTAAAAATTTAAATGTTTAGAAAATTTGATAAATTATTGGAGGAAAGATCCAATCAGTCACACAAGGAAGGATTCCATTACATTTCTAGTCATCCCCAAAGTGTCCTTTTAAAATATATTATTGGGGCTGGAGAGATGGTGCTGTGGTTAAGAGCGCTTGCTGCTCTTGGAGACCAGGGTTCAATACCTAGAACCTTACACAGGAGGCCGCCCTTTCCTTCCCCCCAACCCCTTTCTGGGGGTCCTCTGGCACACATATGGTGTCCGTAAACTCACTCAGGCACATACACATATATACAATCTAAAAATGTATTAACCTCTGAATAGGTTCTCAGCACATGAGCATAAATATAGAGAAATGCATTAGAGGGATATGTCCAGGAGTTCATTATGAACAAAATATTTACTCTACATCTGTGATTAGTTTTCTCACACTTATTTAATATTCATTTGGTATTTTCAGTTTTAGACTTTTTGTAGCATCTGAAATTGAAACCAAGACCTTCCACATCCTAAGCAATTTTTAATTTTATATTATTTTTCTTTCAGACTCCCCAGAATGGTAAAAGCTCCAAAGGGCATGCACAGCCTGGCTCTGCTGGGCCTCACTGGAGGTGTGGGCTGGGGGAGGGGGTGCTATGCTCAGTCACCGTTTCTCAGTGCCTGCTGGGAGCAGAGAATTGCTGGGCACCCATGATATTCAGCTACCCCAATACCTCACCTTCAGGGACACACTCGGAGCACACACTCTATGCCAGGCAGGATAGTCCTGGTCAAAGCTCACATTTGGACAAGGGCACTAGGCTAAATCATGGCTTCCACATGTGGGACATTGCCCACACAGCCTCAGAGGCCGCTTGAGGCCAAGCCTGTTGGTCATGCCCCACAGAAGCCCTTAGAAGTGGGTCCTTTCCTTTTATATGGTAGGCAACTGGAGCTTAGAGAACGTAGGTCACTGACCCAAGCTAACTCAAGCACATGGAATGCTAGAGATACTGGCAGATATGAAAGACAGGGTAGGACAAGTGCACAGGGGCATCCTGGGAAAACTTCAGTCAGTCAGTGGAAGGAGGGGAAATGGGAGGGTGAGAAACAGAGAGGAGACAGGCAAGGCCTGGAACAGAAGGCCTTCACATGGCAGGATGGGGAGTCTGGCCAGTCTAGAAGGGCAGGGCTAGAACATCTGGTCAACTTCCTCAGTTTCAGTGCCAAAGGACTGGCCTGGTGGTGCAGGCTCTTCTCCAGTCTCACCCGTCTGCAGTCCTAGTGGCTCTGCCTGCTGAGTTCTACAAAAGCAACTGAGTCATCACTTCTTTCAGGGTGTCTGCTGTCTCCACAGAATTAGCATGATCTCCAAAAACCCTGAACTTCTTTGTGGGCCTGTCATAAACCACTAGACAGAGAGGTGATCATAGTGGGCACTGAGTTAGCAGTTACAACCTGTCCATCCTTGTATCCAGCTGCTCCCTGCATGCATACTTCCACAATTTCTAGAGAGGAGCTATTTCCCTCAGCTTCTTTCTGCTCTCTGGCCCTGGTTTCCATGGAACCTAGGAAGTTGGTAGGACAGGAGGGGACGACTGTGCACTGAGGCTGACAAGCAAGGAAACACAGGCAGGGACTGTGGCATTCTGGCGCCCTGAGAGATCCTCGTAATCAAGTGACTGACCTGGGCTGGGGAGCACTAAGGAGAGGGGACAGAGAAAAGATTACCCTGCAAGTCCAGGCTGACCTCACTGAGGCGGTACCAACCTTCTGCCCGAAGTAGAGCCTGGTGAAGGTGAAGGTCCTGAGGTGGATGCTCTTCTCCCGGATCTTGGGCTCCAGTTTCTCCCGGACCTTGTTCTCCATGATCATGCTTAGGTAGGGCCAGATCTGTGTGATGATCTGCAGGTAGGGACAGAAGGCCTCGGAGGTCAGGCCTGTGCTGCAGACGGCAGATCCTCTGCAGCCTGGCCCCACGGGTGGAGTCCACAGCCCTCACGTTGCCCACCCACTTGCCTCCCACGAAGCCATCAATCCATTCTGCAAACACCCAAGGTCATCGGCAGGTCTCACTGCCATGCAGAGGTTGAGGTGCATTTTTCAGGGTACCATGGAAACATGCTTCCATTTAATTCTCTAATACAAAGCTATTTAGATTTGAGCTAAACCACATCCTCACTCTGCATTGCGGCTGATATACAGAGTAACAGATGCTGAGTGTTTAACAAAAAAAAACAGTGACAGAAGAGACTGATGAATTGTTTCCTGTGGGTCTAATTTCTAGAAGCCAGCAAAGGCAGCCTTTGGCCCAGTGCTACACTAGGATGAGTCTCAGGGCTAGTCTAGAGCCATGTTAGGGACCAAGTTCCTTCTGATACCAGGGCCACATGTACCCTTGCTCTAGTCCTTATGCAAATATCAAGAGTACCTATATAAACCCAGATGGTCTAGCCTACTACACACCCAGCTAGGTGGTACAGCCTATGGCTCCTAGACTATGAACCTGCCCACCAAGTTACTGAGGTGAATGAATAGTACAGGTCAGCTATGACCTGTAGTCATAGGTCTACACAGCAGGAAGTGTTAGTAAACACAATCAAGCCTAGAAAAAGACATAGTGGAAATGCTAGGCAGGACATGCTCAGCTCCACTATAGTCAATGGGACCACCATGGTATTTTGGTTTATTGTTGACAAAAAAAAATGATATTGTGCAGACATGCCCATACAATGATAAAATTTTTCCAAAATGACATTGCCACAATGTTTTTATTTCTAACATCGTGTGTGTGTGTGTGTGTGTGTGTGTGTGTGTTTGCTTGCACCATAGCACTCACGTGGAGGTCAGACAACCTGTACGAGTCTGTTCTCCCCTATCATGGGCATTATGGGATGGCCAGGCATCCTGCACTGTCAAGGCACAATGTTTTTAACTGACCTATAGACTATTTCTGTTTCCTTTTTTTTTTAACCAGTAATGGCCATTTTCTATTGTAACAGGTGTGAAGTGAAGATGTTGGGTCACAGGGGCAAGTGACAGTAGGAATGGGGGCTTTGGGCTTCAATATAAAGGTGCCCCTCCCCCACTGTGCTCCTTCCTATGGTCACAGCAGAGCCTGAAGGTATGGGACCAGGGGCTCATCCACCCACTTCCTCAGAGGCCTCTCCTCCGCCATCTTGCTGTGTTCTCCGGGGCTTCTGGCATACACCCTCATATGTGGGTCACATGCACAGGTGCCTCCAGGGCCACCTATCACTCAGTGTTGACACAGGCTCTGCAGTGACCAGGACCTAGCTGGTATGCACAGGAAGGGCTCTGCAGAGTGTGTCCTAGAAGCCTGGTGCCCAGCTATTCACCACAGAACCCAGGTCACTCCTAAAGTAGTGAGACATTTCCTCTAAACTCTTCCTGGAGGCTAGGGGCAGTTCCTGATGCACTTGACAAGGACACTTCCAGGAATATGAGGATACCAACCTTAGCTTAACAATCGTAAGGAAAGCTAGCCAGTACCTGACCTAAGTGAGTGCTGTTCTCCTCCCAGAGCTCAGGAGAGTCTGAGAGTCAGGTGCCTACAGGTACAGGCTGTAGGGAAGCCCCCACAGATCATGCCTGGGCCGTGGGACTCAGGCTTCTCATCTGGAAAGTCAGGATTCCTGATGTACGTGGGTCAGAAGGCAGGACATGGAGCAGTTAGCCAGCATGAGGGGGAGTTCCCTTAGGTGACCATGATCTTCCTCCAGTGACCCATACACACCCTAGGCCTGGGCAGGGATCATAATCACTCTCATTTCACAGATAAAGAAACTGGCTCAGAGATGTTGGGCAAATTGTCCAAGGCTGCACAGCAGTAGTTTTGTAGCTGGGCTAGGAGCCACATGGAATCCAGATGCTGTGTCTAATTAGCATGGTCCTTTACTTAATGAGCTCCTGAGGAGGGAAGCAAGGTTGTACTTTTCTCTATACATTTTCTCTATTTTTTTTATTGGATGTTTTATTTACATTTCCTATGTTGTCCCCTTACCCCATCCCCCACCCACCCAGGAACCCCCTATCCCCTCACCCCTCCTCCTTCTTCTCTGTGGATGTAACCTCTATCTACCCCCCCTCACTCCCACCTCCCCACTCTCAAAATTCCCACCCCCTGGGGCATTCATGCGGTCAAGGTTCTCTTCTTCCACCTATGCCCAGCAGGGCCCTCCACTCTTACATATTCAACTGAAGCGCTGGATCCCTCCCTAAGTGCTCCCAGGCTGGTGGTTTAGACCCTGGGAGCTGTGGTTGGTTGGTATTGTTGCTCTCCTCATGGTGCCGCAAATCCTTTCAGCTCTCCTTCAGTCTTCACTCTAACTCCTCTATTGAGAACCCCATGATCAGTTTTCTCCTCAGTCCAAATATTAATTAAAAACTGATTTAAGGGGGGGGGAGGGACTCTTCTGTGAATGAACAAATTGGGGACACCTGTCACTCAAGCTGGGCAGTGGAGAGGCCTCTCTGTCCATCCCTCATGGAAGAAGTATGGTCTAAGGTTTGGGTCTGCACAGTGATCCCATCAGTAGTGCTCGGGTACTCGGATGGTGAGTAGCAAATAGGCTGCCGTGGGGATGCCCAGACCTGCAATGAACCCAGCTGCCCTGCCCGCCCACAGCCCTGCCCCCCATGGCCTTACCTTGTTGGCCCACTCCACACGCTCCACATCTGGGAAATGTATCTAGAAAAGAGAAAAACCAAGAGGGATTTAGGCAAGAGCCACATGCCCCTAGCAAGAGGTCTGGCAAGCTGGGTCCTGCTGCTTGGAAGGTAGGTGGCTCGGCGAGTCCCCGCCCCTCGCCTGTGTCTGGACTCCTGCCTCTGCAGAGGTCACAAGGGTGTCCTCAGCATCTACCGCACACCCAGTCCTGCCAACTCAGAGCCACCTTGCTCTCTTAGCTCTGCTTTGACTTCACAGAAGTGCCTTCCAGGCCTGAGGAAGACTCCCCGCAGTTCCCCTTTCCCCTGGTCTCCAGTGCAGCTACGTTGAGGCTGGAGACTACCCCTTTGCTCATGCACTGGACTAGACACCCCCAACTCCCTGGGGTTAATAAGCAAGTTTGCACTTCACAAATTTTATTCATTCATTTCAAGGAGGTAAGCGATATATTCTATGTCATCAACAACAGCACCCCAGCAAATGCAAAACTTAACTAAAGAAAAAGAAAATCAGAATTCTATCAGGAAATGTCACCACTCCTTGACAGCCATCTTCAACAGGGTGCCATTTTCAGTAGCCACTAGGGGGTGGTGTGTGGCTGTCATAAGTACTTATCATCCTCTCTTTACTCTGAAGAGTCCCGCCCAAGACACACACACACACTGGCTCCAGCAAAGAGGACCCAGAGGCCTTGTCACATAGCCTCCTAACTTCTTCTAGCTCCCAACCACTCTCCCTGCTCCTGGTGGGGTCCCAGGAAGCACGGTCACCTCCATAATGGCTTGCCTCAACCCTATGGTATCATCTGGGCCTCTTAGTCCAGCCACCCACCAAGGTCTTCCTGCACATGTTGGTTTCTGGGGTGTCAAACAGTCACCCTCACTCAGCCCTCCCTGGTTTTGGGGATTGCTGTTTGTCACTATTTATCCCACACTTCACTTTTGGGTTCCCCAAGTAGAGAACAGATGTCCCTCTTGGGTGTCTGATGGTTCTCCGCTGTAGAACTCTAAATAAACTTTATGGCAGCCTATTGGTCTCAGGCCCTTTCCCTACCAGCCTGGAAACGCGTGGCTCCCTGCTGCAACCTTCCGTCTCATAGATGTTCTAATAAACACTAGGGGGATGAAGGAACACGGATGGATACATGCAGCCATGAAGGCAAGGCTCTTGCTCTCAAGAGTGCTCAAGGCCACGAAGGAAGCGGTATGCAGAGAACAGACCACCTGAGCACAGGGCAAGACAGAGACAGGATGAAGGGACCAGGAGGGATCAGCTTCAGCCCAGCCCTTACTGGCACAATTGCTCTTTTTTTTTTTTTTTCTGGACCATTCACTCTCCATCCTAAGCCTGCCGTAATTCCTGCTCTGACACACAATGGATGTGAACCCTTCCACATTCCCTACCGAGGTGGTTCTACATCCTTGGGAGCTGAGTTGTTCTGTGTCTGGACCCTGGAGGCTGACCCAGCTTGGCAGGTCTAACGATGGCCACCCATGGGAGCTAGTCAAGTGTAGATTCCTAAACCGCCCGGCACCTGCTGAATCAGAGTGCACTGGGGTGGGGCCCTCTGACTTATTTTTAACAAGCTCCTGCAGTGATTCTGGAGCTCAGTCAGGGCTGGCTCTGAGATATCAAGGAACAGCCCACGCTTTGTGTTATGGTGACCCACACCCGAGAGTGTGGGAGCAAGAAGCCGATCAGACTCGCATTCCTGAAGTTGCCATGGTCTCTCTCTCTCAGCTCACCAAACCTGCTCTTTACCAAAAGGCCACTCATAGGTGGTTTGAAGCCCCTGGACAGCAAATCTGTCTAAGAATACAAGACATCCAGTTCGGTGCACACTCCTGGGGGACCTCCCTCAGCAGGGATCTCAGCACCTATCTTCAGCCTGGTGAGCAGGCACACAGGAGCCAATTCTCGGTGCCCAGTGAGCCGGAGACTGAAGCGTGACATAAGCAGGGTCTGGTGTGGAAAGGTTGTCAGCGTTCTTCCCATGAGAACTAGCCTATCTTCATCTTTCTGAAGAAACCTTTCCCCATGGCAAATTCTCAAGGCTATCTTAAGTGTTTGTCTGTGGCTTGTATATTTAGAACTTACTCTCCCTGGATTTTTTTTTAATAGAGTAAGATAAGGATGTAACTTTGTGTCTCTGTCCCATTTCTCCTAAGGCAGGCTTAGCCACCAAACAACAAAGCCGGGCACATACACCCTTTCTGTGTGACCTGGAGTGTGTCTCCAGTCAAGCTTCAACCCCACTGGTTTGTTTGGCTCTTCACACTTTCAGTGACTGTTTTTTCAAAATGACCTGGGGCAGAGAGATCCTTTCTCACTTTTTGTTTTCCAAACTTATTTAGATAATGGCAGCTTGTTAGTCAGCAGTGTTGCATTGCTGTGATAAAACACCTGAGACAATCAGATTTTAAGAAAAGAAAGGTTCACTTCAGCTCCTGAGTCCCAGTATCTCATCAGAGAACACCCACCGTACTAAGCTCCACCCCTTATGGGCTCTGTCACCTTCCAACTGCACCCCAGTGGAGACCAAGCCTTTGCCACAGGGCTTTGGGGGGGATTCCGAATCAACCCACTGCAGAATGTATTTGTTCTCCCATAGGAAGACTGGTCAGATAACTTTTTTTGCAGTTTTTAAAACTGGGTTTTGCAGTTTTGTTTTGTTTTTTTTAAAAGAAGTCAGTATTTTATTGTCTGAGAAACTTTGCCGAAAATGAATAGTTCTAATTGTTCCTTGGTTTTTCTTGGTTGTTTATTGGGTTTTAGTCATGTATTTCTTTTAGGCAGGGCTTCATGAAGTTTCAAAATTGCTACATAGCTAAGACTGCCTTTCAATTCCAGAGCCTCCCACTTCTACCCTCAAAGGCAGAGATACAGATTCGAGCTCTCTCTCATTCCCATCTCCAGTAACAGTCTTTATCTTTCTTGCTTGCTGCCCTTGCATAGTTTCTGTACTTTACCTTATCAGCCAGAGCCTGCGTTTGATAAACAGCAGTGGAAAAAAATCTAGCATCTCTGCCTGGGTTAAGGCCTTCAAGGAAAGGTTCTCCGGTCAGCACTCATCAGAGTAGGGAGAGCTCTCCCAGTCTCCTGTGTGCTTTCATTACAAAAGAGCATTTAGGATATCTGACACCTTCTATTGTCTACTGTGATCATCAGAACCTTTCGTAGTTATCCTGTGAACATTGTCAGCTTAGGTGATGATGTGTTTTAAACAGAGCCAGCTCTCACTCAACAAGAGGGAACTATGCGTGACACTGGAAACCTACCAACTACCCAGGACTGTGAAGTCCTGGACCTTGGAGGAGAGCCTGTAACTGCTACTTTACTAAACCAGCATAATCCCTAACTACATTCTTCCCCCCCCCCCCCCCGAGACAGGGTTTCTCTGTATAGCCCTGGCTGTCCTGGAACTCACTCTGTCGACTAGGCTGGCCTCGAACTCAGAAATCCGCCTGCCTCTGCCTCCCAAGTGCTGGGATTAAAGGCGTGTGCCACCACCACCCGGCTCCTAACTACATTCTAAATATTTACCCTTATACCCACAGAAAAGTGTAGTCCTTACCCTTCATCAAGGAAACTTCTCTTTACCACAAATGGAGACGATTACAGGAAAGTACAAGCAGTCAAAATGCAGAGCTGTGGAGTCCAGTCCCAACAGATACATCTACAAAACAACCCGTGCACCTAAGGCTCACGGCTTGTTTACAGAAGAGGGAGCAGGGACAGACAGTAATAGCCAGAGGATCAGAGCCCTTCCTCACCGTGTGTGTGTGTGTGTGTGTGTGTGTGTGTGTGTGTGTGTGTGTGTGACATCCCTGGGCACCAAGCACACACATGGTGTACATATATACATGTTGACAAAACACACACAAAATAAAATGAATAATCCTAATAAGAAATAACTACATAGATTTTAAGATTTCTATAGCTCCCTACTACTGTTTATTAGTATTTCTTTATGGTATGAACCAAGATGGAACCTATTGATAACTCTGCTGTGGGCCGGTACAGGATTAACTTCTGTGACTGCTCCAAGAGTGACTTGTTAATTATGTCTTGCTAATACGTTCTGTCTTGTGTTTATTTTTTGCTTGATCAGCTGTTCTCAGAGAGGGACAGACTAGGATTTCCAAGCCCATCCACTTCCCCATGGCAGTTGGCAACTTTGATTTCAGGTTTGTATTGTGAAAGCCACTTGCCCATGACGACATCTAATTAGCACCCTGTGCGAGCCTGCATCACCCTTTATGGCCTTCAGCCTTGTGTTAAACTCCATGTTGTCTAATATGACAGCTGCTATTAAGTCTTCCCTCGTTGCCAAGCTGCTTGGTTGTATTTTTTTCTATACTATTTTGAACATTTTTTAAACAGGATTTTGAATCATGGATGTGCGCGTGCATATGGAATTTGTGTACATGAGTGCAGAGTCTGAGGAGGCCAGAAGAGAGCTGTGGTTACAGGCCCATGTTGTGGGCACCCAACAGGGCTACTGGGAGCTGAGCTCTGGGCCTCTACATAAACGGTAACTTCTCTTAGCTGTGGAACGCTCTCTCCTGCCCTCAACAGTTTACTTTTCTTAAGTTTCCCTTTTATTAGCTTATGAAAAAATTAAGTTTGAGACCAGCTGGTGATGGCAGTGGGAAAATACAGCCGCCCCTAAGGCCCAGTGATCTGAATTCAATCTCTAAAACTCATGGTAGAAGGAGAGAACCAACTCTCCCAAGTTATCTTCTGCTTCCACACTTTTACACACACACACACACACACACAGAGAGAGAGAGAGAGAGAGAGAGAGAGAGAGAGAGAGAGAGACAGACACAGACAGACAGACAGACAGACAGACAGATAGATACATAGACAGATAGCACAAAAAATAAGAAATTAAAATAGGAAGATAGTTTAGAGTCTTTAAAAATCAATTAGGTTTCATTATGGTATTTTAAAATTGTCCTTGTTTTTCTCCATTTCTTCTCTGTCCCTCCTTCCCACGTGCCCCCTCCTCCCCTGTG